ATGCATACTGATGAGGGTCCTCGTTGATGTTGATGGTTGTTTTGATGCGAGTCATGACCAGTTTTTCAAAGCATTTAGCGACTATCGGGGTGAGGGCCACTGGCCGATAGTCATTCACTGTAGAGTTTTTTGGGACTGGGATGATGGTGGCAGTCTTCAGGCAGGTGGGAATTGTCTCCAGGGTAAGTGAGGTGTTAAAGATGTCTGCCAGCACCTCACAGAGCTGATCAGCACATTCCTTCAACACTTTTCCGGGGATGTTGTCTGGGCCAGTTGCCTTGTGCGTATTAATCCTCCTGAAGGTACTCCTTACTTCTGCTGAGGTCACGCTGAGATGCTCTTCATCCGGTGGTGAGGTGAGTCTGGTGCTGGGTGGTCTGTTCGGGTCTTCAAAGCATGCATAGAACTTGTTGAGGGCATCAGGCAGAGATGGGTCTTTGGGGCATTGTTCGCTCCTTCCTTTATAATCTGTTATGCACTTAATGCCCTTCCACATGCTCCGAGGGTCTTGTGAGATGAATTGACCCTCGATCCTCTTTGCATATGTGCCCTTGGCCCTCTTAATACCAGCAACCAGCTATTTTCTTGTCCTACTCAGCTCTTCTGAGTTTCTAGACCTGAAGGCAGTGTTCCTGGCTTCTAGCAGGGTACGCACCTCTGCATTCAGCCAAGGTTTTCTGTTTGGGTAGCTTTTAACATTTCTGATAGTGGAGACGGTGTCAGTACATGTACTAATGTAACTCAGAACTGAGGATGTGTATTGGTCAAGATCAAGCAAACCTCCATTTTCAGCAGCTTCTCTGAAAACCTGCCAGTCTGTTCGGTCAAAACAATCTCTCAGTATGGGGCCACTGTCCTGGATCCAGCCTTTAACTTTCTTTTGTACCGGTCTGGAGCGTCTCAGCGGGGGCATGTAAGCAGGAGCCAGGAAGATTGAGATGTGGTCTGACAGTCCTAGGTGGGGGCGGGGTTTGGCTTTGTATGCATCTTTTACGTTCGTATAAACACGGTCCAGCGTGTGGTCTCCACGTGTTGGAATCGCCACATGTTGATAAAAGCTTGGGTCCTTTAGATTCACGTGGTTAAAGTCTCCGGCTACCACGTAAAGAGCCTCGGGGTGTTTGTTCTGCAGCGAGCTGATGATATCATGTAGCTCCTGCAGTGATTCATTAGCATTAGCGTCCGGAGGAATGTAGACGACAGAGATAAAAGTCACCGTGAACTCGCGGGGTAGATAATGTGGCCGACATTTCACTGTTATTTGCTCCAAAGCCTTCGAGCATGACAACAGTACAGTTCGTGCACCAACTTTTACTCACGTAAATGCACACTCCGCCTCCCCGTGATTTCCCCGTTAGCTCGCTGCAGCGGTCCGCTCGAAAAAAAAGTCTGTCATCCAGCTGGAAGACTGTGTCCGGCGTTTCGCTTGTAATCCACGTTTCCGTGAGGCAGAACACTGCACACTTCTTCATCTCTTCTGAGGCGCCCTCTCTCAGACAAAATAAATCCTTCTTGTTGTCCAACGAGCGGACATTCGACAGAAAGGGAGACGGCATGGGGAGTTTACCGGCTTTAGCGTTAGCTCGTAGCCTCACCATAACCCCCGCCCGGCATCCTCTCCTCTTAAGCCGGGAGCAGCGCTTCCTCTTCTGCCCGCTGGAACGCCTCTGCTGCAGCTTCCAGGTAGATGACAATTCAATGACAAGTCAATTTTCGAAAATCTTGGAAAAATTATTTGTAATCAGATTTGACCTCTTTTTAGAAAAACATAATATATTGAGTAATAGTCAATATGGGTTCAGATCAAATAACTCGACTTCAATGGCTCTGATGGAGTTGATAGAACACATTACTACAGCTGTGGATCAACAAAAATATTGTGTGAGTGTTTTTGTTGATTTAAAAAAGGCATTTGATACAATTGACCACACCTTACTTCTTGATAAATTGGATAAATATGGTATAAGAGGACCAGCTTTTCATTGGATCTGCAGTTATTTGCAGGACAGAAAACAATTTGTACAGATAGATGATATAAGATCATGCCTCTGTGATGTTTCATGTGGAGTACCTCAAGGCTCTGTACTTGGTCCTAAGCTGTTTATTTTATATATTAATGACTTAATTGATGTATCCAGTATCCTAAAATGTGTTCTTTTCGCAGATGACACCACTTTCTTTTATTCCGGTACTGATTTGGAACAAATGTTAGAGTTAATTAAGAGGGAGTTTGTCAAAATACAAACTTGGTTTAATTTAAACAAGTTATCATTGAATATTAATAAAACAAATTATATGATTTTTGGTAATAGAGTGACAACTACTGATGTTCCTTTCAAAATCGATGATATTGAAATATGTAGAGTGAGTGAAACAAAGTTTTTGGGTGTGGTTATTGATGACAGATTGTCTTGGAAACAGCACATAAATCTTGTAAAAAGTAAATTATCCAAATCCACAGCTGTACTATATAGAGTTAAGGATTTATTGAATGAGAAAGCTTTGTATTTGCTGTACAATACAATTATAATACCACATTTAATATACTGTGTTGATGTTTAGGGAATAGCATGCAAAACGACTACTAGGTCTATTTTAATCTTGCAGAAAAGAGCCTTAAGAATTATAACGAAAACTCATTACTATCATCCTACTAGTGTATTATTTTGTAAAATGAAGTTGCTGGGGTTTTATGATTTGGTGGAATATAATATTCTTTTGTTAATGTATAAAGCACGTCATTATACACTGCCCTCAAATATTCAAGTGCTTTTTGTAAAAAGAAAAAGTTGTTATAATCTAAAGGGCACCGATATTTTTGTTAAACCTAAATATAGAACTAGTTTAAAGGGTCGGTCAACGTTGATACATGGAATAGGACTATGGAATAGTTTGGAAACTGATGTTAAAACAGCTGTCAATGTCTGTATTTAAGAAAAAAATTAAGAGTATAATGTTGCAAAGATATATGTAATTTGGTTAATATAAAATGTTTTTAAAATCATTATATTACTATAAGTTGATTATTTGTTTTATGGTTGACTAATGCATGAATTGCATTGATTGTTTAGTTGTTGAAAAATTATTTTCATGAATGACTATTGCTTTAATTGATTGTTTGTATTGATTTTTTTTGTCTAAGAAGGGGCAGTTATTATAAGATTTTTTCTTCTTCTGCTTCCTTTCATTTTAAATTTTCTTTTCTGTTTTTTTTATCCATATGGATTGTAAATTGTTTTTTTTCCTGTGTTTTAATTTGAAATGAATAAAATAAATGAAATGAAAATGAAAAAATGTGTACATTTAAGAAAAAGATCAAAACTGAATTGTTAAAAAAAATAAAATAAAGTAGCTTAGTGTGTTTTTTTGTATTAGAATTAGAAAAATTAAAAAGAGTTATTCATTTTGTTCTGTTATTTGAAAATTATTGTGATTTAAATAATTGTTTGAAAAAAGGGGGCAG